CACCGCATAAAATAAAAGCGGAATTATTGTTCGCCATGCTGTAAATTCGGCAGCATAACTACCCTGCTGACTACGTTGCCGTTATCATGCCGTCCAACGGGCACCACTTCCCTCTAAAAAAAAATTGCCACCGAGTTAAAATTTCGGCAGCGTAGCCCCATCGGATACACTGTCGTTGCCCTTGATCCAAATCAACGGGCAGGAGCCTGGTGCCTTGGTTTTCCCCTAGGGGAACCAAGGTCATCAACCCCCAGAAGTACCTGGCCGTCATCCCAGGCCAGGTGCTCCTGGAAATGGTTGTACTCAGCCACTTTATTGCTGCCTGTTCAAAACGAACAGGCGCAGTCCCATGATCCCCTAGAAACTCGTGGGGCTGCACCTGTCCTGCGGTCGCGGCCACATTCGCGACCGTTACTTTTTTTTTTTCTCCCCCCCCTTCCTAACTTTTCTTTCTTTCTTTTTCTTTCCTTTCCTTTCCCCCCCCTCATTTCCTTGTGCAGGGGGCAAATCGTTATTCGAAACGAACGGCCTCCCCCTCCTCTCAGTTATTTCATAGAGTCAAGCTAGAGTCAGGCTTAACAGGGTCTTCTACCCCCTATCCCCTGCCCCGTGCCTGTATCTGATGCAGAAAGGGCACTTGATTCGGGCGCGCGGACCAATCAAGTTGCCCGTTTTCAAAATTAGACAGACGCCCCCTAGTAGGAACAGACAAGCGTTCGCAAAAGAAAGAAAGTAAAAAAAATAATTAAAAAAATAAAAAAATAAAATAAAATAGCGTACCTCTTATAGGAAAACGGTTGCCCGTTGACATGGGCGCCTGCAACAACCGTGGGGACTTCAAGTCCCCATCACTGTTGATAGCGCCATCTGGCGCTTCACCCTTTTTTTTTTTTAAAGTCCCCATCACTGTTGACAGCGTCATCTGCTGCTTCACCCCTTTTTTTTTTTTTTTGCAGCCACAACCCTTTTGAACGGGCACTGAACGGCCTCGGACGTGGTCCCACTAGCAAGGAGGATCGGATCAAATGCCTGAATCTGGACGAAAAGCAGGAAATCGAGATGAAACTGTTTTTCTGCATCTCTACGTAAAACACATCCAAATTCAAGAGCTCGATCCTATCCTTTTTGCTAGTGAGACCTCAGCCCTCGTGAACGTGTGAAGAGAGAGAAAATAATAATAATAATAATAAATAAATAAATAAATAAGAGTGGTAGTGTATATTTAAATGTTCTAGGGGTAGATTCACTCGATTATGCCCTTCCCCTCAGTGAAACTCAGCCCCTTCGTTAAAACGAACGGGCAACTAAACACCCTACACGAACCAAAGAAGAGGGGGGGACAAAATCTAAAAAAAAATTAAAAAAAATTAAAAAAAAAAAAAAAAAAAAAAAAAACAGAAACTTACCTGTCAGGCTGCTCGAAAAAATCGGCGCCTGCAACTGATTTTGGGGACTTTTTGTCCCTTCTACTTCATTTAGCGCCATGTGGCACTTCGTTTTTAGTTTTTTTTTTTTTTTTTTTTTTCCCCTTTTTTTCCATTGGCTTATGCCAATGGCCTGTCACTTCCTCATGGCTTTTCAGCCATGAGTCGTAACAACCTCTTGATGTGTGTCATCCTTGCGCAAGGTCTTTGCTGATCCGCGCGCGGCGGATTTCCGCCGCACGATCTCAACAATCGTGGGGCCGACATCGGCCGCGCCGATTGCCCCCCATGGTGGCCGCTCCAAAAGGAGCTAAGCCCAGTAGGGCGCGGCATATCAGATTCGAACCGCGTATCTACCAGGTGAGAGTTTGGCACTGCAACCTACTGGGCTAGCTCCTATCACGACCGGAATAGGAGCAGCTCTTCTATAAGAAGAGCTTGCCCAGTCGCTATCCCTCCCTGCTGGTGGCCTTGCACGCCCTACCTGCCTGTGGCCTTGCAGGCCCTACTTGCCTGTGGCCTTGCAGGCCCTGCCTGCCTGTGGCTTTGCAGGCCTCGCCTGCCTGCGGCCTTCCCGTGGATGGCTGCCCATCCATGGCTTCGGGATCACCCAACGGGTAGGCCTCGGGATCGGCCTGCTGGCACCCTTTTTCCGTGGCCGGCTTTCTATCGATAGCCTGAGAGACCACCTATATCCGGCCTCCGTTTAGCCTACTTAGGCTCTACCACTTCCATGCCCGCACGCCTCTGCGGCTTCGACAAAAGCAAAGCACTTCCAATCATTGTTGCTACTCTCGGACGTCACAGGCGTCCGAACTAAGCTCGGAACTTTTTAGTCTCTCAGTCATAGGTCAGGTCTGAATAAACTTTTTGGCAAACGTCAGTCTCATCAAGTCCTTCAATTCAACGAAAGAGTCAGACAGCATTCGACGTTAAAAAACCCTGGCAAATACCCTTGTCAGGGTATTTGCCCCGACACCGGAGTTAGCGCAGTTCACCGCCCGGCGACACCCGCCCCCCGGTCCCAGACCTCTTTATAACATTTCTCAATTTGTGTGTCCCCATCCCTCTTTGTAGCTGTGGTTGAATGATGCTTTTGAGGGGATAATTGGTGGAAAGCGCCACACGCCCTAAGTTCAGTCGTTTGGTACTACAGGCCCAAACAACTTCGGCCTGGGTGAAAGGGGCCTCTGCACTGTGGCCACAGATCCGTTGGCCTGTTTTTACGGGACAATGAGGCCACAGATCCGTTGTTCCATTTTTTTTGGTTTTGTTTCTTTTCCTCTCCGTTTCTATGGATACCGAACCATCCCTCTTTGTAGCTGTGGTTGAATGATGCTTGAATCATGCTTCTGAGGGGATAATTGGTGGAAAGTGCCCACGCGCCCAAAGTTCGGTCGTTCGGTACTACCGGCCCAAACGACTTCGGCATGGGTGAAAGCAGCCTCTGCACCATGGCCACAGTTCCATTGGCCTGGTTTTACAGGACAACGAGGCCACAGATCCGTTGGCCTGTTTTTACGGGACAATGAGGCCACAGATCCGTTGGCCTGTTTTTATGGGACAATGAGGCCACATATTCGTTGGCCTGTTTTTACGGGACAATGAGGCCACAGATCCGTTGGCCTGTTTTTATGGGACAGTGAATCTGACGCTGTTTCTGTGCCAGATTCATGAACCGGTAGGGCCACTCTTTTTCAAGATACCATACTTGGGCCTCCACCTATCCATTTGGGGTACCACCCTCTGCCTCTTTTACAATGGAATGAATCTGGTGCTGTTTATGCAGTAGATTCATGAGCCAGTAGGTAGTACCCCACATGGAAAGGTTTGGGCATGTAGTACCCAACGGCTGAACTTTCAGGCGTGGCGTGGGCGCTTTCCACTAATTATCCCGCTTCGCTGAGAATGGTTTTTGTTTTTTCCCCGGCCCTTTCTACGGATACCCAACCATCCCTCTCTGTAGCTGTGGTTGAATGATGCTTCTGAGGGTGGTTTTTGTTTTTTCCCCCTCCGTTTCTACGGATACTCAACCAGCCCTCTTTGTAGTTGTCGTTGAATGATGCTTCTGAGGGCGCTCATGTTTGCTGAAGAGATTACTGCTAGCAATGTATTGTTTTTTGTGATAGACGAGGCCAGGGCCTTGGATACTTGAGCAGGATATCACATCAGCTGAGGGGAGCTGGCTGGAGAATCCGCACGATGAATTGCCAAGTGTTTGTCAGAGCGAGGAGGAGCTGCATGATGGTGACGTCTTGGCTGCTGCTTGCTTAGCGATGAGAGGTCCATATCCAGTCCATGATGAGTGCATGAGGATGGGTGGTCGTAAGGTCCGCCCAATCTTCGGCGAGGGGATATCTTATGATGATGCGGGAACCGGTCTTCCACTCTGGGACATCGAGCTTTAGTCGAAATGATGCGAGGTGATATCTTATGCTGAGGGAATCCAGCCGTCCACTATGCTTAGTTGAGCTTAAGTCGTAATGAGGTGAGGCGATATCTTATGATGAGGGAACCTGCTACGATGAGGGAACGTGGTCTTCCACTCGGCCTCATCGAGCTTTAGTCAAAATGAGGCAAGGCGATATCTTATGATTAGGGAACCCGGTCTTCACGAAGCGCATCCCAACGTTTACAAGCCACTGGCTAAAAACATTAGGATTGTTTTTTCCAAAAAAAAAAAAAAAAAAAAAAAAAAAAGATAGCTTTTTTTTGTATACACTCTTGCATAGCTTTTTTTTGTATACACTCTTGTCTTTTTTGTGTACACTCTTTATCAGAGTACTTTTGTTCGGGGAAGACGGTAGGCATCACAACTGGTTGGATGATCATCTCTATGGCCTATGCTGATGACACGTGGCATTTGTACTCACGATGATCTCTAGCACGCTCTTTATTGCCTGCTTCCTCTACGGGGTCATTATATCTGTATCCAGGGCAATAATCAGGTCAGAGACAGATACCATGGCACTGCTCCTATTCAGGGGAAGACAGAAGATAGCACTTTTTCTGGGGCATTACTTTCTCTATCCAGGGTGATCTTTTGGTCATGTACAGCACACACACACACACACACACACACACACACACACACACACACACACAGAGAGAGAGAGAGAGAGAGAGAGAGAGAGAGAGAGAGAGAGAGAGCATGCTCAGAAATGTATTGGGGCAGTTTTTTCTGGGCGATTGCCAGGATCTTTGGGGAGGGTTTTTCAAACTTTTTCTTCTTTCTTTTTTTTTTTTTTTGTGTGTGTTTGTGTGTGATACTTTGTCCCGCTCCTCTACTACACATTGCCTAATCCGCGATCCCTCCATTTCCTCAAACGCCTCCAAGAAAACCATAGCATGAATTTGCTGACCCCTCTCTCTCTCTCTCTCTCTCTCTCTCTCTCTCTCTCTCTCTCTCTCTCTCTCTCTCTCTCTCT